ATTACTTACATAGCTAAAATACCTATTTATGAGATTAAAACAATTAACCGCAGATGCTGGAGATCTGAAGAAAAAAATCAGAATTTGCTGGAGAAATTCAGCAGGTGTGGTCAGAAAGCAGGATCAATGTTTCAGGTCCAGTGACCCTTCATCAGGGGACTTGTGTTTAATTATATACTGTGATATTTGCCTGTTAAACCAAAAATGTGTTTTCTTCCCACTTCATATGAAATTCACATATCGCTATGTGTAATGTATTTATCACAATGTCTGTTATCTTGCAAAAAGGTAATTATATAAACACAATGCAACAAACCGTGCCAAAATTTGTAACATGTATAATAAACATAATTAAACATTTCATGTGTACATTAATCTGAACTATTAGAAAAGGGTGAAGACCATAGGTCTTCCATGGTTCCAATATCAATCACACACATTATGTGGGACACTGGACTGTAAGGTCTGGGTACTAATAAAGGCAGTGTGTTCTTGTTCAGTTTGTTTTTGTCCATGTGTTCTGTGGACACATTTGACTTCACAATATGTCATTTCAATTTTATCTAAACATCCTGAATCATCTGTAGGTTTTGCACATTTTCAGATAAAAGATGTATTGCCAATAGCTTTTAACTGCTGACATTTTGAGTCCACTATGACTGTTCTTTAGAACCTTGGGATTCCAAAGAAGAGTCGTATCAGGTTCTAAGTGTTCACACTGTTTCTCTGTCCACAGATGCTGTCAGACCTGCTGAATTTCTCCAGCACTTTCTGTTTTATTACAGATCTTTAGCATTTGCAATGCATTGGTTAATTTCCATGCTGCTCCTTTGTTGGTTGGCTTCCTGCTGAACATTTAAACACTGAAAGTAGTGGGTGGGTTGATGGTTAGGTCCCATGGTGCCCTGTAAAATCCATTCCAGGACACTGCTCATGATTCCAGTTCTGATAGAACCTCTGGCAGCCAATACACATTGCAGCAGAGGTGTACAGCATCCAAAGTCTGTGCATTGCACTGGAGCATGAACCCGCCGTCCTTCAGGATGTTTCAGTGCTCCAACATTGCTACTTTGCCAATGATTTTTTTCTTATTTCTCAAAAAGTCAACCCAACCTACCATCACTAATACTGAGATGTTGAAGTACAAAAATTGGCCTCAAGGCCCAGCATTGCTAAATTTCTTCCTGAGATACTATCACCTCTTTAAGTGAAAGCCTGCAGTCTGTCTCCAGCTTATTGCTGTTACTGGGATAGCCCTGTGTAGGAGAATAAAGGTAGGCAAAGGCACCCAGAAAATATGCATTAAAAGGAATGCGCAGATGCAAGTGGATGAATAGATCAGCTTTCTATATATTTTGGAAATATTTTAAATAGAATTATTGTGGAAAGGCTGATTTTAATTGTAGGATTTTGAGCAAGAGAACACATTGATGTGATGTTGCAGATGAATAAGAAGGTGGGAATTATGGAGCAATTGTGAGGAAAGGATGATTCTCTTTAGAAACCAGAGTCTGAATATGTGCTCATTGATTGTCCCTCTGAAATGAAGAATTCCTTGATTTTTTTTTCTTCCTTCCTTTTCCTCCTCTTCTTTCTTCCTTCACCCACTGACCTGGTATCTATATGTTTGTTGTCTAGGCTGCATCCTCATAATAATGAAACTGTGTGGGTAGTGTGACCTTGGAGATGTTCTTTGGTGAGTATTGTAGCACACCCCTTCAGCTGTTCAGAGAATGGAACTGGATCTGCTTGGCCCACATTTGCAGAACATGCATTAAATCAGCCTGAGTGGCTGCTTGATTTCACAATCTGCCAACTATTGCCTTTCTGGTGTACTCTTGCACCAATGTCTTTCCCTGAATGGGGCAGGACTTTGGAAGTAACTGGAAGGACTGCACATCCCCTATCTGGCCTCTGTAGCATTGTACCTACTTCAGGGAATTTTGCAGCCTATGATTTCAAAAGCAAATGTAATGAATGTAATTGTATTGACACACAATAGAATCTTGTCTTATAATATTTGGACACATTTCACAATGGCTGACGTTGTAAATGAAATCATTCCTGTGAATTACTCTTTAATTGTACACATGAACGCAAAGCACAATCCGCTCACAATTTCATTCAATTTAGGAAACATTCATTCTCCTCTGCCAGAATTGCTTCTACGGAGACATAGAAGGTTCTGAGGAAGGGTCACCGGACCCAAAACATTAACTGTGATTTTCTCTTCACAGATGCAGCCAGACCTGCTGAGCTTTTCCAACAACTTCTGTTTTTGTGTCATGCTTCAGTGTTGTGATTTCTTTTTAAATGTTAGAGAATTCCGTGCAACAGCTGCGCAATACTTTGTGTGAACTATGCTATGGACTCAGTTTAGTAAAAACCTGATCTGGAAAATTTGCTGTCAGTAGAAATTGATAAAATAAAACAGAATTTCATTCAAAAATCTAAATATCTATAATGAAACAGAAATGTAACAATCCGCTTTTTGCAAAACAATGGGTCCATTTTAGCATTCAGCTCCAGCTTAAGCCAAACCCAGGCCAGGATGTGCAGTAATCTCTTTATTTGTAACCTGAACCAGAAGAAATAAAAAAAAACAAAGCAAATTATTGAAAATAGAATTCTGTCTGTTACTTTGTTGTAATGTATATGCTTATAAACAAATAGAACTGTTATGACATTTTGATAACAATACTGATCTCTCAATGGACTGATTGACACTTGGTTATATACTTGCAGAAGCTTTTACTGTACAATTGTTTGTTCAGGGTTTGAGTGAAGATTTGTAGCCCGGGTGCTGGTTGTAGATGTTCGTGTTTAAGACCCAATAGATACCATGGACAGGACGAATGTGGTTTACAAGATAGCATGCGGAGACTGCACAAAACATTACATGCGACAAACAGACAGACAACTAACAAGCCGCATCCATGAATACCAGCTAGCAACTAAACAACACAACCAGATGTCCTTAGTTTCAATACACACAGACGAGAAAAACCACAGTTTCAACCGGGACAACACTACTATCATTGGATAAGCCAAACAGAGAACAGACAGGGAAGTCTTGGCGGCTTGGTATTTATCCATGGACTCTATCAACAAACACATTGAATTAGACCCAAAATACCAATCATTACAATGCACAGCCTGAATCAGCACCTACCAGAAGCAGCAAAAACCAGACCATGTAAGTTTGAACTGGCACAAGACAACAGCGCTACACAGGAGGCTCCACAGCACCGAGGATGTCACCTAGTAAGGGGACGGAATGTGTGCTATCAAATCTCCCAGCTCAGCGAACACACCAACATCTACAACAATTGTTTGTTGTTTGCTAGATTGCATTCATATTCAATTATTCCCTTCCTTATCAGTTTCTTATTTGTCTTTCACTATATTCCAACCACTGACTAATCCTCAGATTTATTACTATTTCTGGTCGTTGTATAAGCCTTTCCTTTTAATTTTATACAACCTGTAACTTCCTTTGTCAGCCACAGTTGACTGGCTTTTTTGAATTTTTGCATCTTGAAGAAATGCATAATTGCTGTAAGCCATGTAATAAATAGTTCTCTAAGGACAGTCCAGTGTCTATGAACAGTCATGCCTTTTATGTATTTCCCAGTTTAGCTCAACCAACTTGTTACTTCATGCCTCCATAATTTCTCTTATTCAAATTTAATGCCTTCACTTCAGATTGAATGAACTCAAATGTAATGCAAACTTCTATCATATTGTGGTCACTCATTCCTAAAAGCTCTTTCACAAAAAGATTATTAACTAGAGCTCTTTTATTACATAATATGAGATATAAAATAGCTTCTCCTCTTGTCAGCTCTTCAGAATGTTGCTCTAGAATACCACCCCAAAGGAACACCAGAAGCTCATCTTGCACAGCTTTAGTGGTCAGTTGGTTTACGCAGTTTATATGCAGATTGATGTCACCCATGATTGTTGTTTTGCCCCTGTTTCTCTCACCTTCTGATTAATAGCATTTGGTGACCTATAAATATGGAACCAATGTTTGTTGTTCCCTTGCTATTTCTTAGCTCCACCGAAAAAGACAACAGGTATTATTCTTCCGATCTGAGATCCTCCCTAACTAATGTACTGACCTCACCTCATCCTATCAACACTACTCCACCTCTATTTCCTTCTTGTCTATCCTTCCTAAATGTATAAATCCTTGAATATTCAATTCCCAGTATTGGTCACCAAGCAGCCATGTTTCTGTAATGGCAAATGGATCACCATCATTCACCTCTATTTGTGCATTTAAATCATCTGTCTTGTTGCAAATACTGTGCACATTCAGGAGGAATGCCCTCAACTTTGACTTCTTGACATCATTCTGCATCCTAGACATATAGATGCTCAGGTCTATTTCACTTGTGCTCTAGTCTCACAGTGACTGCAGCTACTGCACAAGTACCGAAATCTGGAGTTCAAGCTTTATGTAGCCAGTGACACTTCCTGAGATGTGTTTGTCTGGGGCACATGGTATGTCCATGACTTCACACAGAGCAGGACATAATCTCCATGTGGCCCCGACTGGAAACCTCTGAAATTCAATTGTTACCCTTTGAATAAATTTGAACTCACAATAAAGAAAACTTATGTTAACTTTAGGAACAAAAACAAAGTTGCTGGAAAAGCTCAGCAGTCTGGCAGCATCTGTGAAGGAAAAAACAGAGTTAATGTTTCGGGTCCGGAGACCCTTCCTCAGAACTTTGTTAACTTTATTTTCCTTCAATTCATTTTATTTCAATTTGATTTGAATTAATGTTACTTCCCTGTTTGAAGTGATCCTTCCTGAAATCCAAGTAGCTGTCTCTTATTTATAAACGATACATATTTCAGTTTTATGCTATTTAGACTCATGCCCTAACTAGAACTTCCCAACAACCAATAAACTTGTAGCTTTCCTGTGACATGAGTATTAGATCTTCTCTCCCACACAGACTGTCCCTGCATCACATTCAGAATGTAACCACTCCCTGCTCACTACACTCTTTCTAAACTTGCTGCCTCCTCCCTCTGGACTGTATTCAGAATGAAGACGCTCCTCATTCTCTGCACTCTTTTTGAATTACTGCCTCCTCTCTCAGCGCTAACTTCAGAATGAAGACACTCACTGCTCACTGCGCTGTTTTTAACATGCTGCCTCTTCTTTTGGTGCTGTCTTCAGAATGAAACTACTCCCTGTACTCCGTGCTGTTTTTGACTTGCTGTCTCCTCTCTCGGCACTATGCTCAGAGTGAAGCTACGACTTGTTCTTTGTAATTTGCTGCCTCTTCTCTCTATGCTGCATTCAGACTGAGCCATTCCATACTCACTGTGTTCTTTTCAACTTGCTGCATTCTTTCTCAGTGCTGTCTTCAGAACGAAATGGCTCTTCACTCGGCATACTTTTTAACTTGCTATATCTTCGCTTCATAATGAAGCTACTCCACAATCTCCATAGTCCTTTTTAACTTGTTGCCTCCTCTGGTGGTGCTGTGTTCAGAATCAAGGTAGCTGCAGTTTCTGTACATCCTTTCTGCGCAAATGACTGTTACCAATAGAGATCCTTGATCCTTTCTTGTTCATCCGCAATTAAGCCCCTTGAGCCTCATATTTCTGATTCTGCTGTAGTTGCCCTTCACTTATTCTCCTCCTCCTTTTTCATTTTCTTAGTTTTATCCATGCTAAGACTGTAGCTGGCTTCATTGGTTCCAACATATGATGTGGAATCACTGATCTGTGAAGGAAGATTAGGAATGAGATGCATGCTTTGTATTTGGCATCTTGAAGATAAAAGCAATTTTTCTACCCTTATCTGATTGTTCCTGTCTTGGATGAAGCCGTGACCTACCTCCACCTTCACCCCAGAAAGGTAAAACCTCCATCATCCGTGACTGCTTCTCCCCTTTCCTGATGGTGATACGTGCAATGTCCTTGTGCTTTTTATCTTAACATCGCTTTGCATATATGTGCTAAAAAGCACAATGTGAATCTATTTGTCCTTCATTATCTATTGTGATGTAACCCTTACATATTGGAAAGATCAGGAAGTATAATGACTTCATTATGATGTTGTAACTTTCGTAACAAGGGTATGTGAATGGTTCTGAATGCGTGCTGATTGTGCATTAATTTCTGTCCTTACACCCCCAACAAAGCCATCAGCAGTAATGAGTCTTGGTTTCTCTTCTTATCACAGATTGGTGGTTGACTGAGCCTAAACCCATTTCCGAAGAAGGATGCTGACCCGAAACGTGAACTTTCCTGCTCCTCTGCTGCTGCCTGGCCTGCTGTGTTCCTCCAGCTCTACACCGTTATCTCTGACTCCAGCGTCGGCAGTTCTTACTATCTCATAGTGAACAGGAAGCTGCTGATAGCTTTTACACCCTTGATGTGCAATGATAGTTTTTTTTATCAATACAAAGTCCTTAATATATATTGTGCAATATATATTTCCAGTTTTGGTTTCAATTGCCTTAAGTGTGTGTGTGTTTGCTCTGCTTTACCATGTGTAAACACTTGCCTTTTATAATTTTTTTGGAATCCCTCTCCAAATCTGAGTCTGTATCACATGATTGTGGGCAACTTCAGTTTTAACTTTATTCCACCCTTACCCTTTTATCCAACTCCACTCCCACTCTCAAATGCAATCTTCCCTCTACCTCCAACCATCACTGTGGATGGCATTGTTGTTTCCCCTTTCATCCCTTCTGTCTGCCTTCAATGTTACTTTCTTATTTTACTATTTCTCTCAATGTTCTTGCTCTCCCCCCAATTCCATGTCCATAGAGATCCCAATGCCTGCCTCATCCTTGCACTTCCCCAATTTAGTTCCACTGTTCTTTCTCCTTACAAAGCATACCAATAACTTGTTAATATCCAGTTCCCACTCCACGTTGTTCCTTTTGCCCTATGACTTATACTTTGCAACCCCAGTTGCTACCTCCATGCTGTACCTGTCCCTGACAACTATACCCTTTAAGTTGCTTCCCTTGCTTTCTTTGCATCCAGCCAACTTATCTCTGAACTTTCTTTATTGATGCCCATTTTAGGTTAAAACACTCGCCTGTCTGATCAGATTTGTTTTAATCAGCCAATGTGGCTGTCTAGATTGGCCCCGCTAGTGGGGCCTATCATTCTTCTTGCCTAACACTGTTTAAATCATATTCTAATAAGTCTGACCGCCTACAAATGTGCCTTCACATGAGCTGCTGAAAATGGAGAGTCTTCAACTCTGACACTGGCAGTATGTGTGCAATGAAACAACTTGTTTCTGAAGGAACCACATAATGGATAACTCACTGGAGCTGGAAAGAAGCAGTCTACCTCGCTAGCAGACATTGATCTATATATATGGTGAACATAATTATTTCCCATTTTTAGCTAACAAAATTATGCCTGTGAAAGTGATACAAATAGACTGCAATGTTCTGAGTATTTGTACGAAATAAAAACCAAAAGAACTGCTGATGCTGTAAATCAGGAACAAAAACAAAGTTGATGGAAAAGCTCAGCAGGTCTGGCAGTATCTGAAGGAAAAAGCAGAGTTAATGTTTTGGATCCAGTGACCCCCTCCTCAGAACTCCATAGATGCTGCCAGACCTGCTGAGCTTTTCCATCAACTCTGTTTTTGTTTCTGTGATATTTTAATAAATGAAGACAAGTTTCTAACCATGAAAGTCTGGGAAGCCAACCTGCCTGAAAGATTCTGAGAATTTAATATCAAAAATTTAACCCATTATCAGGAAAGAGAAATTTTTCCTCCTGACTAATTAAGCTACCTCTTCTGCACTTCTAAATCATCCGGGTAGCCCTGAACTTCTGGCCACTGTTTCAACTTCTGGAAGTTCACCACTGAAGAGTATAAAGATACATTGCCAGACAGACAAGTGTTAAACTTATAACACATTAAAAGGGGTGGGGTGGAAGGGGTGGGTGTGTGGGATGAAATGCAGCCAGCTCTTATCCTGCTTACCAACTATGGGTGTGGTTGCACCAAGCTGTGCATGAACCAATGGAAATGTTAAGTGTCACCATGTTCTGAAATTTTAATTGCCCCCGGTGTTGTGAAAGGTGGGCCTGACCATGTTGCTGAAGCACGAGGAAGTGTTCATGCAGAAAAGCACCTTTGATCATAAATCCATCAGATAGTGATCAGCATTTAAGGTCCTAGATGTTGAGGCACAATAAGAAAGTAGATTCTGTCAGATGGTTCCCCAACAGCTTGTGAAAGTCATTTTGGGCAAAGTTTAATTGCTAGAACTTTTGAACAAGTGCCAAGACTTAGTTTGGCCAGGTGAGAAAGACCCACCCCACTAGATTCTTCCTAAATGGCCAGAGTTCCAATCCTTCTGCATGTTCCCCACAAGGTGACTGTATTAGGAAAAATGACCATTCTCCATCTACTTATGGAAAGCGCCTTTGCAGAGAAGTTCTGGATAGAGGTGCAAGGGTTTTTGACGAGGTTTCCAAAGCAGATCTGTGATGCAGTTCTAAGGACTGTTCCCAGCAGCACACACCAAGGTAAACATGAACTGTAGTTGTGGGTCCATCACGTCTGACAGATTCTTTTTGATCTGCCTGAATTTTGCTGGCTTTTCAGTGCAAGGAGTTGTCCTTGACCAACCATAGCAGACTGACAATTCATGGTCCAGGAATATTTTCTGTGGCGAATATTAAAGTTTGAGGCAACAGGCAAAAGTCACTGTCTAAGGTCTTTCAGTCATATACATTGAGGGACTGGAAACTTTATAATCCCTCTTCTCACTCTGTGCTTAACAAGGAATGTACAATGTGAAAATCAAGAATTTTAAAACTGTATTGAGAAACATTTGAAATTGAATTCTATTGGCGACATTTCCTAACATGAAAGACATATCTGGCAACTGCAACTCGCTGACATCTTCCATGGACTTCTATCTTGGACAACATTTTTTAACATTTCAGGGTACATCCATGGGCAGCCGTTGGTATTGGCAAAACACCAGGCTCGTCACATCATTTTTGCATATTTCAGATTCAGTTATAGAACATAGAACATAGAACATAGAACATTACAGTGCAGTACAGGCTCTTCGGCCCTCGATGTTGCGCCGACCTGTGAAACCAATCTGAAGCCCATTTAACCTAAACTATTCCATTATCATCCATATGTTTATCCAATGACCATTTAAATGCCTTTAAAGTTGGCGAGTCTACTACTTTTGCAGGCAGGGCATTCCACGCCCTTACTACTCTCTGAGTAAAGAACCTACCTCTGACATCTGTCCTATATCTATCACCCCTCAATTTAAAGCTATGTCCCCTCGTGCTAGCCATCACCATCCGATGAAAAAGGCTCCCACTGTCCACCCTATCTAATCCTCTGATCATCTTGTATGTCTCTATTAAGTCACCTCTTAACCTTCTTCTCTCTAACAAAAACAGCCTCAAGTCCCTCAGCCTTTCCTCATAAGACCTTCCGTCCATACCAGGCAACATCCTGGTAAATCTCCTCTGCACCCTTTCCAATGCTTCCATTTCCTTCCTATAATGCGGTGACCAGAACTGTACGCAATACTCCAAGTGCGGCTGCACCAGAGTTTTGTACAGCTGCAACATGACATCATGGCTCCGAAACTCAATCCCTCTACCAATAAAACCTAACACACCGTACGCCTTCTTAACAACCCTATCAACCTGGGTGGAAACTTTCAGTGATCTATGCACATGGACACCAAGATCTCTCTGCTCATCCACATTACCAAGAATCTTACCATTAGCCCAGTACTCTGTATTCCTGTTACTCCTTCCAAAGTGAATCACCTCACACTTTTCCACATTAAACTCCATTTACCATCTCTCCGCCCAGCTCTGCAGCTTATCTATGTCCCTCTGTAACCTGCAACCTCCTTCCGCACTATCCACAACTCCACCGACTTTAGTGTCATCCGCAAATTTACTAACCCATCCTTCTACGCCCTCATCCAGGTCACTTATAAAAATGACAAACAGCAGTGGCCCGAAAACAGATCCTTGAGGTACACTACTAGTAACTGAACTCCAGGATGAACATTTCCCATCAACCACCACCCTCTGTCTTCTTACAGCTAGTCAATTTCTGATCCAAACCGCTAAATCACCCTCAATCCCATGCCTCCGTATTTTCTGCAATAGCCTACCGTGCGGAACCTTATCAAACGCTTTACTGAAATCCATATACACCACATCAACCGCTTTACCCTCATCCACCTGTTTGGTCACCTTCTCGAAGAACTCAATAAGGTTTGTGAGGCACGACCTACCCTTCACAAAACTGTGTTGACTATCCCTAAGCAAATTATTCCTTTCTAGATGATTATAAATCCTATCTCTTATAATCCTTTCCAACACTTTACCCACAACCGAAGTAAGGCTTACTGGTCTATAATTACCTTCTTGAACAAGGGGACAACATTTGCTAGTCTCCAGTCTTCTGGCACTATTCCTGTAGACAATGACGACATTAAGATCAAAGCCAAAGGCTCTGCAATCTCCTCTCTAGCTTCCCAGAGAATCCTAGGATAAATCCCATCCGGCCCAGGGGACTTATCTATTTTCACACCTTCCAGAATTGCTAACATCTCCTCCTTATGAACCTCAATCCTGTCTAGTCTAATAGCCTGTATCTCAGTATTCTCCTCGACAACATTGTCTTTTTCCTGTGTGAATACCGACGAAAAATATTCCTTTAGCGCCTCTCCTATCTCTTCGGACTCCACGCACAACTTCCCACTACTGTCCTTGACTGGCCCTAATCTTACTCTAGTCATTCTTTTATTCCTGACATACCTATAGAAAGCTTTGGGGTTTTCCTTGATCCTACCTGCTAAAGACTTCTCATGTCCCCTCCTGGCTCTTCTTAGCTCTCTCTTTAGGTCCTTCCTGGCTAACTTGTAACTCTCAAGCACCCTAACTGAGTCTTCACGCCTCATCTCTACATAAGCCTCCTTCTTCCTCTTGACAAGAGATTCAACTTCTTTAGTAAACCACGGTTCCCTCGCTCGACCACTTCCTCCCTGCCTGACAGGTACATACTTCTCAAGGACACGCAGTAGCTGTTCCTTGAACAAGCTCCACATTTCAATTGCGCCCAGCCCCTGCAGTTTCCTTCTCCATCCTATGCATCCTAAATCTTGCCTAATTGCCTTTCCCCCAGCTATAATTCTTGCCCTGCGGTATATGCCTATCCCTTTCCATTGCTAAAGTAAACATAACCGAATTGTGGTCACTATCACCAAAGTGCTCACCTACCTCCAAATCTAACACCTGGCCTGGTTCATTACCCAGTACCAAATCCAATGTGGCCTCGCCTCTTGTTGGCCTATCTACATACTGTGTCAGGAAACCCTCCTGCACACATTGGCCAAAAACTGACCCATCCAAGTTACTCAAACTATAGCGTTTCCAGTCAATATTTGGAAAGTTA